AGTGAAATATGGAAAAAAAGAAAAAGAAATTCTGGTATTTTTTTACTCTGTGTAGTTTGATTTTCATTTGTCAACCATGTTTCACATGCATTTGACTCTTTTGACCAATGTTAGTATAATTTATAGCCTTCCAAATTCAAGTCAAATGCGCTTGATACCAAATTGACTAATGAAAGTCAAACAACATAAAAGTAAAAATATCAGAATTTCTTTCTTTTTCTCCACATCTCATTCTCTGATGAAGCCTTAATAAAAGTGAAACCTGTTAGATTAATAAATGTTTTCTATTTATTCCTTCTCTATTTGTTGCTTTTATATATATATATATATATATATATATATATATATTTTAATCCAACATTTTTTTAATTTTTTTCATTTCAAATAATTATAGTATTTCTACTGGTCTACACACTCATGAAGATGCATTAAAGAAAATGCAACCTTGGGGAGGATATGAACCTGAATTCACATTCACAGGAGAAACTACTGTTTGATCTGATATGCTTTGACTACTCGGCTAAGAAGAGCTTCACAATCAAGTAAGTTTCTATATACTTTAAAGCACACTCACTTGTTCAGAGTTTCTTGAAAGTCATAGCTGTTCAGTTTCGTATATAAACATAACAATATCTAAAGAATTAATGGATTTATTTTTTTTTAATCTGACATATAGTTTTATCATATCAAATATTATTTTTAGTCAATACCTATATTTGAGTAGACAGTCCATTTACCTTTAAATAGTATTTTATTTCATCTACCGGCCTGCACAAGCTTTCTCTACTCAAATAGGAGTATTCACTAAAAAAAAAAAAAAAAAAAAAAAATATTCACTTTCAACAGTTCATCTGGTCATCCTCATGCATGGAAACTATTTTGTTTTTTGGTAAAATTCAGGTAGCATCCGAGACAAAAAAAATATAATGCGAATCAAAATATGTTTTTTTTAAAATGTGTTATTGATAACGGATACAAACTTTTGGAGCGTGCAGTCACAACGCTAAGGTTGAATTTTTTTTTTGAAAATTTAAGTGAGGGCGTTTTTTTACTAATATAGCAATTTAAGAATTTTTTTGTTGTAGGAGTTTAAAAGTCAATGTGGCATGAATTAAATATTTCAATAAGTCGAGTAATGCCTCAGTTGCTATCCTGAATAAGAACTGATCCAATGTGCAAATTTTCGGGATAACAAGTGAGACATTACTTATTGAACTATTTAGTTCATGTCACGTTGACTGAAACTCCTACAGCAAAAAAATTCTTAAATTGCTATATTAGTAAAAAATGCCCTCACTTAAATTTTCAAAAATTCAACCTTAGCGTTGCAATTGCATGCTCCACAAGTTTGTATCCATTATCAATAACACATTTAAAAAAAAAAAAAAAAAAAAACATATTTCGATCTGCATTATATTTTTTTGTCTTGGATGCTACCTGAATTTTACCAAAAACAAAATAGTTTCCATGCCTGATGATGGCGAGACCAACTGTCGAAAGTACTTGCATATTTAAGGAAGACCTAATACAGTTTATAATTTTAAAAAACAAGGATCATAACATTCATTGAGTGATTAGTGGGTTAATGCAACTTTAAAAATTTCGTCGAAAGTACTTGCGAATTAAAAGGAAGAACTAATACAGTTTTATATATATATATATATATATATAATTGGATATCGTTTGATGGTATGCTATATTTATGGGTTAAAGTTCTCAATATCAGTGATAAAGCATATGTAAATGTAAAAGTGGACATTGAAGTCAACACCCAGAGGTAACAGTCTGTTTCATGTTAAATGTAACCATCAGGGCATGATGCTTGCATTTAGCATGAAACAAACTGTTACCTCTGGGTGTTGACTTCAATGTCCACTTTTACATTTACACACACATATATATACATACGCACACACACACACACACACACAATCTGTTAGTCTGTACATAGATATCTATATCTATCTCATTCTGTTCATAACTACTTCTCCATCTATTTATCTTTTGTCACATTGTCTTTGGGTGTTGACTTCAATGTGTTCACTTATATTATATATATATATATATATATATATATATATATATATATATATATATATATATGTGTGTCTGTTGAGAATTCGAGTTTTAATAGTTATCTCCCCTACCCATCAAATCCTGAGAGTTTGAAAAAAAAAAAAAGTCATTCTTGTGTTCATCCAGCAATATTTTTTTTCTTAAATTTTTTTTTTTCAATGTAGACAAAACTGTAAGTAATTTGATTAAAATGATTTAAAAAAAAAAAAAAAAATCAAAGTCCCTTGATTTGGGATTGAGAAACATGTCTATGTTACCGTTGTATTTTTTCATTATTGTTTTTTTCACCTGAACCCCCCCCCACCATCTCATTTTATAAAATTCTCAAATTTTAAATAAAGCTTTCATATACCATCTTGGGACATCAATTGTCCTCAAAATAATTTTTTTTTTTTTTTTTTTTTTTTTTTAAATATTTCATTTCCTACAATCTTGTTATTTCATCTCTTTCATTTATATGTTCATTGGGGAGCAATAATGGAGGGGGCACCAACCCTTCCATCATCAGTTCTGGCTGCCATAGTTGCTCCTCAGCAAGTCCCTCACCCACAGAGTCCTTTGCCATTGTGTACAACTCTTGCTCAAATTCATTTAACCGTCTTTCTTGAGTTCCAACTTGTAAATGTGGCTCGTTCTCCATAACACTATTGCTACTACCACTACAAGAGCCTCCCAAAGGTGTTTCAGGCATAACACAGTCCGGAGCTCCCGAGCTAATCACAGACGAAGCACAACTGTGGGTATCAGAGTCCAGATCAACCCCAACAATGCCAAATATGCTGCCATTTTCAGACGCCTCACTGTAGAAGCTGTTGGTTGTGTCACTGTCCGTGGTCCGAAAGAAGGGAAAGTGACTGGTTGTGGGCATGTTCCCCATGGAACTCGGACGGATCAAGCTGTAACGGTCAAGAGTGCTGTCCAGAGAGCTGGCTGAACTGCGACAACTTAGCCGGGCACAGTCCATTCGAGTTACACCTTAAACAGACATGAAGAAAAGAAAAAGTATATTATATACATATAATAATAATATTTCTTAAATACGAAAAACAAGGAAAAATTAATGCTGAAAAACTAAATAAATATTATTTAAATTTTTCTTGGTCATATTTAAAGAAAGATATTTTAAAGAAAAAAAAAAAAAAAAGCATTTGCTGCCTAAATATACATTAATATATGATTTAAAAGGAAAACTTAGCTGATGCATTTTATCCGCTGAGAGACTTTATCAAGGCAAATGCAAAGATATTATTTTGTGACAAGTATCTAGACACAGAAATAAAAATGTTATTTTTCAGAATTTTAAAAATAAGGATATATTTATCTTTTTTTTCTTTATTCACAGTCTTTTTTTACAGATATATTTTTTGGTTATATTTGAAATTTTACACACACATATATATATATATATATATATATATATATATATATATATATATTTTCAAATATAAGATTGGTGTAGACGGAATAAATTCCAATAACCAAAAATACTATTCTTACAAGAGTGCTCAATACAGAACAGAGCAAATATTATTTATTCAAAAATTATAACATAAATATGTTATAACATCACTACAAAAATAGCCATTTTGTTTCAACACTTCTGGTGCCTTATGTTAAAACATGTTTATGTTATAATTTTTGAATAAATAATACTATATATAGATATATATATATATATATATATATATCTCCAAATGTAAAAGAACGAAGAATAAGATTTCAGTGTTCAGAACATTAATTTAAAACAGAGCTCCATACAGTCACATCATGATCCCTCACCTGAAGAAACGTTAAAAAAAGTTTTTATTTTTTAATGTTGAAACTAGATGTACAGTTTTGTTGTAGGTATGTGCATAATACATAAATGTGCACTGCATAATATATATATATATATAGTGTTTTCCAAGCGTAGCTTAAATGGGGCACAAGGCCGAAATTATGGAGCACCCAGTGAGGATCGAATTCACTACTCAGTTGTAATTGTTCTAGCGAGCTAAGCTTGCTAACCCTTATGCCACCTCGAGGTACCCAAAGCGTAGCTTAGATGTGGCACAAGGCCGAAAGTATGGGACTCCCAGTGAGGATCAAACTCACTTTTCAGTCGTAACTGATCTAGCGAGACAAGCTTGCTAACCATTACACCATGCCGGGGTGCCCATATAAGTGTATCATGGGCCCCTCTGAATCTCTGATACAGGGTCCCAACTCTACTATATCTCAATTGTCATAATGTCATATTCATATGAAATACACATTTTATTGTAACTTAATTATGTAGAATAATGGATCCTATGCAATATAGGTGAACAAGTCAACTAGAAAAATTGAAAATAAATACAATGTATCACAATACAAATTAGAGACATAGACTTCACAGATTTGGATGAGAAAAACAGAGCCCAGAATGATGTCAAAATCTATGAAAATTTTGCATCCTTTTAAGGGTAGGTTGGACGTAGTTTAAATTATATATATATATATATATATAGATAGAAAAAAAAAGCAAATATTGATAAGTTTGAGAGGGTCACAAAGCACTGCCCAGGGCCCTCCTGGTAGCAGGGTAGTATGCACCAGACCTATATACATATATAAGACATTACACACTCTGTGTGTGTGTGTGTATATATATATATATATATATATATATATATATATACACACACATATACACACACACACAGACTGTGTGCATATATATATATATATATATATATATATATATATATATAAAGACAGTGAAGTCAACACACAGCAGCAACAGTGTTTCATGCTTATACACAATTGTTAGGCCATATGCATTGTGTTATTGCTTGGATATATATATATATATATATATATATATATATATGTTATATATATATATAAGTCAGTGATGCATTGTGGATGTGGATATTCTATTGCATTGTCTTAACAGTTATTTTGGTGGGTGGTAACAGTTATGTTTTGTATTATTCTAGGAGCTATTGGGTGGAAATGATTGTGGATCCTGGTGCAGTTTGTTTTTTTTTTGCAATTTGTAGTGCTGTTTGTTATTTTTTTTATTTATTTATTATTAATTATTTTATTGTTGGTTATTATTACGTTTACTTATGTTTATGTGTGCATTCATAGTTTGTTAATTATTTACTTAATTCTACTTATTCATTGGTTTGTTTGGTAGACTGTTTACTAACCATGGCTATAGGAAAGAGTCTGTCCTGCTATTCAACCCATAGCTGGTGAGAGAAGAAATGGATTCTTTCATTTTTCAAAGCTATTAGCATATAAGTGATTGTAATTTCTTGGTCGAGCACTTTCAGTTATTCGTCTTGTCATCACCAAGATCAAAAGATCTTAATTACAACCCATCGCACTTTACTTAAATGTGTACCATTGAGCAATGCTATGCAAGATTCACCATAGTACACCTAAAGTCCAAGGAGAAATGGTGACATTTTTTCACTTTTGATCTGATGAAGCCTAAATGGCAGAATGCATAATCCGATATATTTTGGAAACAATATACTTTCATGAATGTTTCTAAAATGTCAATAATGTATATATATATATATATATATATATATAAATAAACATTAATTATTAATACTAATCAGTTTAGATTTTAGTGTAAGTTATGATTTTTTATAATTTAGTGTGAATAATTACTGTTTATTTTTAATATTACTATTTTTTTTAAATAAGATTAAATAAGCTCCCTTTAATAAAATAATTGATGATCCATTGCTCTAAAATTAGAAATAATAAAATAAAAATAATAATTATAAATAAATACAAATCTTTTACGTTCATATATTAATCACGGTTATTTTAATTGCATATGTTTTGAGAAATATAATTTTTTAAATATTAGAAAAAAAATTTTTTTTTTAAACTATAAACGCAGCTTATATAATACTTAACTGTGCCAGCATTGTGAGAAACAAAAAATATTTTTCAAATTCATTTTATAAAATACAGTCAGCCCATACACAGTACCAGAAGATTGTGTGAACAGTGAGATATATATATTTAAATACTATGACAAATTGGAAAATAATTGTCATACTATTTTTCTAAATACTGTATGTTGATATATAAAATTATATATTGTTATATCATATATATATATATAAATAAATTATATATATATATATATATATATATATATATATGTGTGTGTGTGTGTCTTCCAGAAAGAGTACAACAAAAACAAAGAGGATCAGGACAAAAGTAAGTTTAATAATTGATAATTTAGCCACCCAGCAAAGCCGTATGGTACGATAAGTGCAACAGATGATGGCAAAATAGAACTAAATAAGGTTAACTGCTGAGTAAAAATGGTTCATCATGAGATAGTGGAGACAACATAAAGATACACGGGGGCTGTGGCAGTTGGCCTCACCTAACATCACTTGCCTTCCATTTTAATCTGTTATTTCTGTTACCTGTGGATTTGCTACAAAACAGAGGTGAGAAAAATCTCAAGTTGCACACCTTGAATGAGGGGTGGGGAAGACAAATAGAGTCACAAAAAAAACAAAAAAAAAAAAAAACAATTTCTTCAAAAACATGCATTTCCAACAGAGCCTTATAGTTACTGTTTTTTGAAAATATTTACAAATTGTAATCTTTTTTTATTATATTTCCAAACTGCTGTAGATTAATTTTTTTTGTTATTTTTTATTTCTTTTGGTATAATACAATTAATAGAACCAAATTATGATTATTATTATGAACACGCATATACTACACATGGACTTGAAGCAATTGATAGTGTATTTCCCCTCTGCAGCAAATTAGGGGAGTTACTATTATGAGTGTGGGATTTTTGTTGTAGTAGTAAAAGAAAAGTACTGTAACTTTAAAAAGTGACTGTAACTTTAACTATCTAGCTCTAAATTGCAGCAGAGGAACCTTCTGGGTTAATGCTGAAAAGGAATTCTGAGGAAAAACATGAAACAGAAAATAATGGGATACCGAGTTGGGATGTCATTCCCTTTCATGTAATTATATGTTGGTAATAAATTTACAGATGTGTTTTCTTTGGTTGGTTGATTTGTTTGTTTAATGGCATATCAACACCTTATGGGTCATTTAGTGCCAAAATTTAATTTTCTTGGGAGCTTTGAAGAAATAAAAATATGATATGGGTTATTCTGCTTTCACAATTGAATACATGGTAAATGATACTCAGCTTTTGTGCATATACATGTCTGTATGGACATAATTACTAGAGGCAGTGATATATGTGATTTATGCTGTTGAAGTTATATTTTGGAATACAGTTTGATTTAAGAAATTGTAAGATATTATATGGATTAATGTTAGGAAAGAGTTCTTTCATGTTGGTTGATTTGTTTAGTTTCATATCAACCTCTATGCGTTATTTAATGCCGAAATATAAATTTGAATACAATTTTATGGCTTCAACTAAATATGCTTTGAACACAATTGTATGCCTTTAACCACAGATAAAATGTATTGTTGGTAACTCTACAATAAAATGTACTGCTGGTCATTTTGCTTCAAAAATTTATTGTTGGTCATGTTATATATATATATATATATATATATATATATATATATATATATATATATATATATATGTATGTATGTATTCCTGCTATTTTACTATAAAAATGTATTTTTATCCTTTCATAGCATTTTGTTTTGGTATTCACTATTTGCCTAGGTCAGGGTGGACCTAGAAACAAAAGTTATTGAGAAGTGGTTGCACACCCTCAAAATCTCCAATCTCCTTATCAGAGGCCTTGTTGCCAGATGTAGTTTATCATCATACCCAGTACTATTTTGTTTGGTATGTTAAATTGTGACAGTGCATAAATGTTTTTAGTATTGTGTATTTTTTTTAGTTTAGCTTCATTAAATGTCTTCGTTCTGAATTCTTTCAAGGACTAAACTGTGTAACCGGTAACAAGATTTTGAGACTGGTTTTTCTTAGTCTTGTAGTAGTAGTAGTTAAATTTTCACATCTGAAAATTGTATTGGGAATCAAAAGTCCTACTGGTCTCTCTAGTGAGTAAGTCAACACCAATTCTTTTATCACACACATCTTAGTGGTAAAAGAAGGGAAAGGTTTTCAATTTTTGGCTGTCTCACTTAGAGACCCCTACAGGCTCCCTTATCATCTTTGATATATAAAAGTCCAACAGTTCACCTCCTCGAAACTATATATATGATACAATATAGTTTTAAGATGTAAGTTCTCAATGTCTAAGGATTAACATATATAAATAAATAAATTAATGAATTAACAAGCCACAAACACATACATAAGAAGAAGTGAATGTAATAATAAAAACCAACAGTAAAATAATCAATACTAAATAAAAAAGTTAACAAACAATAATAGCAAAAAAAATTGCATCTATATCCACAATTATTTCCACCCAATAGCCCCTAGAATAATTCAAAACATAACTGATATCACCGACCAAAATAACCATTACAACAATAGACTACCCACAATTCATCATTTACCTGTATATATAGTCAAGCGAAAACACAATGCGTATGACCTGACAATGTTTAAGCATGAAACAGACAGTTACATCTGGGTGTTGACTTCAATATACACACACACACACACACACACATATATATATATATATATATATATATATATATATATATATATATGTGTGTGTGTGTCGATGTGTGTGTGTGTATACACACTAAACCTTATTTTAAACAAGTTTCATTGGATGCAATGGACAAAGCATGTGTTCCTTGTAATAAAGATAAAACCTCAAATACATTGGCCACACAACATACTCTTTAATTAGACATCTAAGAAACTAATTGAATTATTTTAGTTAAATATTGAACCACTTAACCACTCGTACAAAACTCTCTTCACATATGAAACATCCTTGTAGATAATATTGCCATTTTCAAAAAACATCTAATTGTAAAAGATGTTTCAGCTTAATGGAAGCACTTTTTAAAACACTACAGACATACACTTAACATTACTTGCTCAGTGTCTAGTTGGAATGTATTGGATGTGTTTTGAAGGCACCCAAACACAGAATTACTATTATAGAACACAGCATTGAATACAAACACAAAAATATATGAGCAATCCTTGAAAATGCCAAATGAATTTGTAGTGAAAACCAAACAATAACTCTCTTTACCCACTCCCTTCAAATTTGGAGAACCGAGGAAAAAGACTGAAAGAAAGTCGCAAGCCAAAGTGAAATTTTGTTTGGACCAATGAAAACCTTGCCTTTATAGAGACTGACTGGCAAGCTGAGAAGAAGACAGAAATAAATTTGCAAACCTATATGAAATTGTTTTGGGACCAATGAAAACCTTGTCTCTATAGAAATTAGCCATTGAGGCAAGAAGAAAGAAAACAGTTGTGAACAAGAACAAAGATAAGGACAATTATCCTTACAACAACTTCATTCAGTCACCCTCTATCTTGAATAGCTCTTGGGCCTTGTATTGGGTGAACAACATTTTAAAAAATGTTTACCTTATTAACAATTACTTTATGATGTTTGTGTTTGTTGATTTTGTAAAATGACAACCCTTGTTAGGTTATTTAATGCTCAATTTCATATGAGGCACTTAGTGAAGATCAAAATCACTCCTGAAAAGTAATGGTTAACGAGACTAGGCTCACTAACCTTTATTCCACACTGAAAACACTTGTTCTTTCAATGTCATCATTGGAACAAAATTCATTTATTTCTCTGGATTGACTTTTATCAGAATCAAGAAGCCTCTGTCTAATTTTGAAGCATGATGTTGCAACATAGAAATTACCATGTTCAAGCTGATTTAATAGCATATACCCCTCTACGACTAAGTAGGATTATCAGATTTAGTTGCAAACAAATGTATGCATTTGACCAGCAAAATCTGACCAGTCTGTCTGGAGAGGGTTAACTGTATTTGAAAGTTAAACAAATTTTTTAATAAAGTAATTGCTCTTTTGAAAATTGTAGTTAGAAGTTTTGAAGGCATTATCAGAAAAATGCACAAAAAAAAAAAAAAAAATGAAAAAGATGTACCCTCTTTTTAGAAGGGAAGATGACACTACTTAAGTTGACCTTCCTCAAGGTGTGACATTGTCAGAATAAAAAAATAGTGATTTGTTACCATTTTAGAAATGGGGTCCTGTTCATAATATCAATACAGTGTAAAATTGATCCCTGTTTTTTGGGGTTTTTTTTTACAGAGTTATCTGGACTTAGTTGTTCTGCCCACAAAAACTTTTTTTTGTAAAAAGATCTTTTTTATATAAAGGAAAAACATACATACATTTTTAATTAAAGAAAAAAAATTTACATAAATTAATGAAAGCACACATCAGTTGATTCGTTAAGATAAATAATTATTGTCTCCTAAGGATTTTGCATGTGTTTCTGTAAAAAAAATTCCCCCCCAAATTTAAAAGAAAGTTAAAAAAAAGAGTTACTAAAAAATGTTAAAATGTTTTTAAAAAAATCTAAAGAAATATTGTAAAAATTCAGATGTCAATAATGTAATTTCAAAATAACGGAGAAAAAAAAAAAAAAAAAAGAAATCAATATTTTTCAATTCTAACAAATCTTTCAGCCTAAATATCTAATTAATGTTAATCTCCGGAAATTATTACTAAAAAAAAATTTCCCTCTATTTTTATGAATAGACCACTGTATTTAAGTAGTACCAGTAAGATTAAGACAATACTGATCTTCCAAGAATGTAAAGGCTTAATTAAAGCCTGCATGTAGAGCTACATTTAACCCTGCATTAGTCACATGGGGTACCTGTAAGTACTCACAATTCCTAGTTAGCAATTTGTTACTTATACTCCTTCCTAATACTCTCTTGACTCCACGAGAGTGTGTAGAACGTGATATGACAGTTGTAGCTCAGTTGTCATTGACAACAAAAACCAGCAGTCTACCAATTTTCAGAAATCTGAGGTGACTAACATAGAATTAAAAGAGGCACTTTTCTTTGTCATTTTTGTTGGCAAGAAAAAATAGGTGGGGGGAGTTATTTATGTTTGAAAAACCAGACTCATCGAGAACTCAACACCAGAAAGAATAGTTCTTGCATCCATTTGTAAACTTACCTTGAAGAATACAATGTTCCTGTTCTTCTAAAAGCCGCAGTTCCCTTCTTTTTTCCTTGAGGACCTTCTGTCAAAACAAAAAGGAAATCTATATTTCAAATTCAAACAGGTAGTGGGACCATTTATCCAGTGAAGAGAAAGTTTCACTCAGATAGCTTTTCCCTCCCAAGCGAACAAACAGCACCCTCAACATTATAATCTTCACCTCTTCAAGAATGGACACCTGCGTCGATGCTTTCTGAACGCTACAATCTTGACCACTTCAAGAATGCGCCGATGCTTTCTGAACGCTACAATCTTGATCTCTTCAAGAATGGACTCCTCAAGGTCGATGCTTTCTGAACGCTACAATCTTGACCTCTTCAAGAATGGACACCTGCGTCGATGCTTTCTGAACGCTACAATCTTGACCACTTCAAGAATGGACACCTGCGTCGATGCTTTCTGAACGCTACAATCTTGACCACTTCAAGAATGGACACCTGCGTCGATGCTTTCTGAACGCTACAATCTTGACCTCTTCAAGAATGGACACCAAGGCCATGCTTTCTGAACGCTACAATCTTGATCTCTTCAAGAATGGACTCCCAAGGCCGATGCTTTCTGAACGCTACAATCTTGACCTCTTCAAGAATGGACTCCTGCATTGATGCTTTCTGAACGCTACAATCTTGACCTCTTCAAGAATGGACTCCTGCGTCAATGCTTTCTGAACGCTACAATCTTGACCACTTCAAGAATGGACTCCTGCGTCAATGCTTTCTGAATGCTACAATCTTGGCTTCTTCAAGAATGGATTCCAGCTTTGAGACTTCCCTGAAAACTAAAATCCTGGCCTTTTCAAGAGTCAATCATTATCTATCTTCATTCTCATTGCCGTCACTTTCTATGGCATTCATATCACATATGTCATTCAGTTACCCTCTACCTTGAGTGGCTCAAGTTAACTTTAGCAATAAAAAGAAAAAAATGATTGGAACTGGAGGTGATCTGATTTTTTGAACTATCAGGTTTTTGGAAACAAGGCTAAATTTACAAGTGTGTAATGGAGAATCGGGTCAACCCAACAAGCGACCAAGAGTTAGTTGATGTAGTACAGTAAGCACCAGGAGTTATGTCCCCTTCCACAATTGGCTGTTGAGAGAGGATATTCTACTTAGAGTAGGTGGCACTGATAAAATTTGCATATGAACAATTCTGGGCAGGTATTAGCCAATATTCAGCATGGGTCTGGGAAAGCTATATAACACCGGATTCTTCGCAGTCGGGAAGAAGTGTTCTTCATGTGCTGACCATCAGAGTTTTGCATCAGTGAGGTGTTGGAGTTTACATTTATTTTACTTAGAAAACCAGACAAGATGAACACAAATTTATATATATCAAGTTGTAGCCTCTGCCTGTTATTGAACACCTCCTAGGGTTTTGGAGATAGATCCCCATAACTATATATATATATTCTGAAACTATATTACCCAGGGTACTTTAATAAGAATATTTCATTTTGATCAAAATGGAGCCCCTAGGGCACACAAAACCCCACTGAAATTTTTTTTCTGTTTGATATAAATTAAATTTAAATTTGGACAAGGGAATGACTCCAAGGGTACTTGGATAAGTATATTTCATTTTGATCAAAGGGGTCCCTGGGGGTGGGGATGCAAAAACCTCCCAATGAAAATTGTTTTCCCCTTTGATTTAAATTAAATGACTTATCCAAAATATAGAAGGAAAAAACCAGAAGATGGAGGTCACATTGGCAAGATCATTGAATAATATTGAAATGCATCACTTTTCTCCAAAAATTATAATCAATCATCATTTTTTTTTCTTTTATAAAAAGTGTGTGAAACACAGCAAGGTGTGGGTAATTCAGCTAGTTATAAGATAAAATTAAGAATTAAAGAATAATTTTTGTCTAAGTTTTTTTAGATAAAGAGTTAACAAAATTCAACATAGTCAAAAAGAAACAGGATATCAAAAGAACAGTTGTTCTCTTCATGCTCTACAATCCAGTGGGAACTTTTAATAATTTTAATTATTAGATTTAATTTTTGATTATGATTTTTTTTATTAAACTGCCTTGTAATTGATTCAGTTATTGTTATCTTGTAAATATAAAATTCTTGTAAATAAACAATCTAATAAACAGTGTTTAACATTTTTGTTGTCACTTCTCAAGAACAAAAAAAGCATAAATCCAGATGACTGCAAACTGTTTTATACGGCAATAGCAAATGAAAGAAATACCTGGAAAATACATTTTCTTAAAATTTATAACGAAAGTTGCTTCACTGTATTGTGCAGGACAATTTTTTCTCTTCAGAATCTATCTTACATATTTTAAGTCTACCATTTGTCCATGCTTTGAATATTGCTACCATATATGGTCCGGTGCTTTTGCTATATATTTAGAGATACTTGATCAGATCCAAAGAAGAATCTGCAATGTTATTGAACCTGACCTGGTATCTCGCCTAGTCAATTTCCCCACCACCATAATGTAGCTTCTCTGTACCTTTTCCATAATGATGAACATTCTACTATGGTACCCAGTGTTTATTAACTTAAGTGCAGTACTAGATTGGCAACATGGTGTAATTAATTTAAAGTTAAATTGATTAGATGTAGCCAAAAGTTTTATGCTAACAATTTCTTCTCTTGTACTTCTGACTTGTGGAACTGTCTTCCAGCTCCATGCTTTCCAGAAAAAATTTAAATGTAATGTCAATTATTATCTACTGTTCTACTTGATTCCTCTTTTATTTGTTATCACTCCTTAATAATGTTTATCATTTTCCTTGTGTCTTAGTGGCTTTTCTACCTTGTTTGGAGTGAAATGGTAAAAAAAAAAAAAAAATAAATAAATAAATTAGTTACTTGCCTTGATGAATTTCTTTAAATTTTCTTGTTCATATTTTTATAAATTTATGAAGGAAAATTTTTTATTAACTTATAAATATAGAATTATTCTTGCAAATAAGTAATCTAATAAAATACAGGGTGTGGCCAAAATACCTCCCAGAAATACATCCCACATAGTGGTAAGGCATGAAAACACCATTGCCACAAATGTCTTATTATGTGGGAGGTTTTTCTTGGAGGTATAAGCGGGAGGTTTTTCTGGGATATATATGTGGGAGGTATTTCTGGGATATATATGTGGGAGGTATTTCTGGGATATATATCTGGGAGGTATAAGCGGGAAGTTTTTCTGGGATATATATGTGGGTGGTATTTCTGGGATATATATGTGGGTGGTATTTCTGGGATATATATGTGTGTGGTATTTCTGGGAGGTATAAGTGGGAAGTTTTTCTGGGATATATATGTGGGGGATATTTCTGGGATGTATATGTGGGAGGTATTTCTGGGATATATATGTGGGAGGTATTTCTGGGATATATATGTGGGAGGTATTTCTGGGATATATATGTGGGAGGTATTTCTGGGATGTATATATGGGAGGTATTTCTGGGATATATATGTGGGTGGTATTTCTGCGAGGTATAAGCGGGAAGTTTTTCTGGGAAGTATTTCTGCCAAACCCTGTAAATAATGTTTAATTCTTTTATTCAGTTCTCAAGAAAATAGAAAATAAATCCAATTTCATGTGTTTGGGTTTTAATGAAATTCTAGAAATATTTTTTAAATCAATAAAAATTACTGGGCTTGCATACAGTAATAATAGTTTCAAAACAAAATAAAAAAACATCCTTTTGATACTTTTTTTTTCTGGGAACGTCTGTTAACTGTTGCCAAGAATACCGATGTATTATATTAGTGTTCTCATCTTGATTGTTTCAGTCATTGTGCTCACAGGCCTTCTTCAGGTTTCTGTAGTAATTTCTAATCTGGTTATTTAAAATTAGACACTTTATTCAATCTTTTACGTGCCTAACAAAATTCAAACCACCCTGAAAAGGGTTAGATTCTATCAGGCTATCTTGCCCAAGCCGCACCAATGCTGCTATAACTGCAGTACATGTGATGCACCTATGACGCTAATGGATTATAGCACACTTGATCGTCAAACAGCTTCTTCTCATGAACCACTGCTTTGTGGAACCGATTCCTAAGAGGATGTTTCCTCAATCACTACAATTTCTTCAAGTCTATGGTTAACAGTTATTTTCCCCCACATATCTGCATATATTCTGTAACCCTCTACCTGCTTTGTGAAAGCAATTCCCAAGAGAATGTTTCCTCAATCACTACAACCTTAAGCTCTTCAATTCTAGGGTTAACCATTATTTTCCCCACATCTCACCATAAACTGTGCCTCTTACTCTGTAACCCTCTACTTGCTTTGTAGAACTAACTCCCAAGAGGATGATTCCCTGATCACAACAATCTTATTCTCTTCAATTCACCTCCTATCCACATAAACTGCCTCTTACTCCGTAACCCTCTACCTTGAGTGGCCCCCAGGCCTTGTACTGAACGAAACTCACTGAAAAAAAAGAAAAAAAAATGATTACCAATTGTCATGGATAGTTTGAATGATTGATAGATTGATGGATGAAATGTATTTTATAACCAACATGTTCCATCAGATATTTTTGTTACTTACTTTTAATTTTATGTAACGATCATGTAGCTCGACTTTTCGGCAGCAGTCTTCAAATAAAACCACTAATCTGATGGCAGAAGAAAATATTTTTAAATTTTAACAAATATTATGAAAGAATATTAAATAACTTTAAAAACATTTTGAAAATAAAATAAAAAAATAAAAACAGACATTGAAAAATATTAAAAAAAAAAATAAAAAAATAAAAATAGACATTGAAAAATATTAAAAAAAAAAAAAAAAAATAGACATTGAAAAATATTAAAAAAAAAAAAATAGACATTGAAAAATATTAAAAAAAAAAAAAAAAAAAATAGACATTGAAAAGTATTAAAAAAAAAAAATAAAAATAGACATTGAAAAATATTAAACAAAAATAAACACTGAATATTTGAAACACAAAAATTTTAAATATTAGGTAAGGGATTAAAAATAAATTATTATAAAATTGTAAATAGTTAAAAAAAAAAAAATAAAATAATTAAACAGTAGCAGAAAAAAAATGTCAAAAATTGACTTCCTCAAATCTAGTAAAATGTTACAGAGAGATTTACATAAGTGATCTACCTAAGAATATACTCTGATCATTTGCAAACGTCTATGACTCTATACGGTTTGGTTTATTTTACAGCATATCAACACCTCAATGGGTTATTTAATGCTGACAAAATTTTTATTGCTGGTAATATTTTTTTTCAAAAATGTATTACTGGTAATAATTTTTTCTCAAAAAATTTATTGCTGGTATTAATAGTGTTTTGACCCCAGTTTGGGAGGTTAACTATTTGCCCCTAGCTAGGACCCTAACAGGTGCTACCACCCAGGTCAAGGTGAACCTGGGAACACCAGCAATTAAGAGATGGTTCCACACTCTTCAAAACCTCCTGATCAGAGGCTTGGATGACCAGGTGGATGTAGTTTATCATCTTACATGGGACACAGATATAGTTTGTTTTGTTTTACGGCATATCAACCTCAATGGATCATTTAATGCTGACAACTTTTCTTTTTTTTTTTCCTGGTAATATTTTTGTTTTGTCAAAAATCTATTTCTGTTAATATTTTTTCCTCAAAAATGTATAGCTGGTAATATTATTTTTTCAAAAACGTATTGCTGGTAATAGTTTATTTATTTTTTTTTTTTCAAAAATTTATTTCTGGTAATAATTTTTTACAAAGTATTTCTGGTATTAAAACCTATTTTTATACTTTTATAATGCTTTTTACCTCAGTTTCGGAGTTAACTATTTGCCCATTGCTGGGACCCTAGCAGGTGCTACCACCCCAGGTCAGGGTGGACCTGAGAATACCAGCAATTAAGAGGTGGTTCCACGCTCCTCAAAACCTCCTTATCAGAGGCCTTGCTGTTGGATGTAGTTTATCGTCTTACCCTGGACACTGGATGTAGTTTATCACCATAATCAGGATGGACACTATACAAGCACAACTCTAAAACTCTTGACAACAAAAAGTCACAGCTGACCTATCTTACGATCTAACCCTAACCATCCCAGTGGGGAAAAAACTGGCTGGTTACATTCGATGCCTCTAAAATCAAACTGGTTACATTCCACGCCAGACCTCAAGTGGAACTCTTATATACAATTCATCTCTAAAGATGCTGGTAAAATGATTGGCTTCCTGTACCGCTCCAGTAAGTACCTGACTCCCCTTGCTCTCCTTTGCCTTTATATTGGGTTGGTGCATAATTATCAGGCGTTTTTGTAGGTGAGTCATTTGTGGATAAAAATTGCTGTTTTGTTTATTTCTTTTTAATAAAAATATTATTTAATTTTCAGGTTATAAAAATGCATGTTGATAATCATACTCATTTATAAAATGTTATTATTATGTTTCTTTTTTCATAATAAATATCATTTAAAAAATGCCTGATAATTATGCACCAACCCAATAAGAGCCAGATAACACTGAAAATGGAGTACTGTTATATTTAGGCAGGAGCTGACCAGTCAACAGAGTTCAAAAGTGTCTCCAAGACCTTGTGGGTGATGAATTATTCTCCATCCTTCAACCTCTCTCCCACAGGCAGATGTTGCTGAATTTCTGGATTGAGGAGGTATCATTTACACTATTTTTATTCAGACTATTGTCCTCATCTTTGTTGTTATTAGGTTTAGACTATTATGCTCTCTGTTGTAATGTAAGGAAAGATATTGGAGGAGGTGACACCTAACTGATTGCTCTCCCAACAACTACAGGGAGAGAGAGGAAGGAGATGAGCAGTAACAAAAAAATAACACTGTCTCAGAAAGCACAGCAACAAGAAGAACAAAATGCCCACAGGACTGACTTCACAAGACACCGTGTCTTGCTGACTGCTGTTTTCTCCCAGGTTTTATTGGCATGAAGCATCTTGCAAAGACCCACATCTTGACCAGTTGCAGAGTGGCCCACATCTAACTAGACATGCCACTGTCCTGCTGCTAAAAGAAAAAAACCTGGATATAACTGGTGTTTACAAACATGTCCGTAAGCCACTTTTGCATCTGTCTTGATATGCATTCACTACATTCCCCCCTGATCTCCTGATCACAGATACAAGAGCTTACGGGTCTCTTTCCTTGAGTGCTTCTCTGAAGTAAGACTGGTTTGTGTTCCTCCACCTCGTCCCCATATAATTCTTCCACCATGAGATCATCTGGCTTATCCTCACTGTCAGACTAGTTAAAGGTAGCGAACTTGGAAGGAAGAAGTCCCTGACATGATGGTGCATTATGTCCACTAAGACAGATTGCAGATTAACAATTCCAGTTATTTCTGAAAGTTGTTGTACACTGGTTGTGTGGGGCCTTTACCAAAACAAGCTTTCCCACTTTGTACACATTGTGGCCTACCTCAGACATCATAGAAAGTACTGAATCAATTCCTTGAACCTTGTATTGTTAGACTTAATTTGCGGGTGCAGTCAGTGGTGAGGTATCATCTTTGGGAGTTACCAGAAGGTGACAGCTTCAACACTACACTTCATCCTGGCTGCAGTCCTCTTGATACTCCTGGGACACTGCTCCATTATTCCATTTCCTGTCAGGACGTGTGTGCATTGGAATCACAAATGCATGTTTCATCCATAGACAAAGGCTGGAACTCTCTGCTGCAGAATGCAGTGTCATTGCGAACATTACTTACATTATTCTGGCTATCATCCTCATCTTTGTCGCCATATTTATTACAATGTTTCAACCGTTGTACACTCCGGTCTTCTTCAGGTGGTTGGAATGTTGAACTGGGGTAGACTGTTCTAGTTCCACTTGCCATGTTTAATGGATGTCAGTTATAAGTTATCTCCTGTTAATTCCCCTCTCCATTAAACATGGCACATGGAAATAAAACAGTCTACTCCAGTGAGCAAAATAAAGCGTTCAGTTCAACATTCCAACCATCTGAAGAAGGCTGGAGCGTACAACGGCCGAAATGTTGTAATAAATATGGCGACAAAGATGAGGACAATAGACCGAATAATGTAAATAGTGTACATAATACCTCATCTCAGAAATATAGACAGATACTGAAGGATCGGATAAATATGGCAACAAAGATGAGGACAATAGTCTGAATAATGTAAATAGTGTACATAATACCTCATCTCAGAAATATAGACAGATACTGAAGGATTGGATAAATATGGCAACAAAGATGAGAACAATAGTCCAAATAATGTAAATAGTGTACATAATACCTCATCTCAGAAATATAGACAGATATTGAATGATCGGATAAATATGGCAACAAAGATGAGGACAATAGCCCGAATAATGTAAATAGTGTACATAATACCTCATCTCAGAAATGTAGACAGGTGTCATTGTGAGTATCTCAATAATAGTGATACCCTGAACTGAACCATCAAATTCAGAGATTAGCTTCAGGTCAAACATGCTGTCAGCCACGAGTGCCAAAATAGCTAGTTTTAATGTAAGCAAAGAGTTTGTTGAGATTGGGAGAAAACACCTACTTGACTGCTCTCCCAACAACTACAGGAATAATAGGGAGAGAGAGAGAGGAAAGAGATGGGAGGTAACAAAAAATAACATTGCTTTGGAAACCATAGCAACTTGAGGAACAAAATGCTCAAGAGGCCGACTTCACAAGACACTGTGTTTTGCCAACTGCTGTTTTCCCCCCATCCCAGCTTTTATTGGCATGAAGAATCTTCAGTTCAGAATTCCCTGTAGGTTATTGTTATAGTAATTTATCCATGCACACATGGACTCTCCCAGCTATAAATAGGAGCAGGTACTGCCTTTTGAAGAGGAAAGCTTCCAGCAGTCAGCTCTGACAGTTGGACCAAACATTCTTGCTGTAACACTTGTTTATATATGTTTGTATTACTGTTTCTGTTTACTTCAGTTCCTCTCTTGTGTCTTTATTTCTAGCCCTGACAAGGCCACAACAGTTATTCAGATCAATATACATCTAAGGAAGGCCAGAGGGCACAATGGATGAAACATGATAACAACAACAAAGATAAGGACAATAGTTCAAATATAAATTCTTAGTCTTTAATCCTATCTTCATCGTTTTGATTCTAAAGAAGGATCATGGTACATTGACTGCTATATCTAAATTTTTAATCCCATTTCAAAGTTTCTAATTCTGAACTTTGCTTTGTAGCACATTGATAGTCATGTCATATCAAAAAGATTTTAAAGTAGATTCTCATAGTCTTTAATTCTATCTCTAAAGTTCTGATTCTGAATGTGGTTTTAACTAAACAGAAAAAGTGAAAAAATTTAAAACTAAAGAAAAAAATGAAAAATTTTAAAACAAAATATAAAGAATATTTTTTTTCAAAAATCAAGAAAAAATGATTTGAATAAAAAGAAATTGTTACCTCATGTTCTGCGTACAGGCCTTGATTTTCTCAACGAGCTGTTGATGTGTTGACTGCTCAACACTTTCTCCATTTACAGACAGGATAACATCTCCTTTAAGACCAAAAGCAAAATTCATTCAAATCAGCTATTTATATATATATATATATATATATATATATATATATATTAATCGTTTCATCCCAAGCAAGGCAGAAAAGTCACTAAGACACAAGGTCAAAGGAATAAAAAAATAAAATATTGAAACATTATTAAGGAGCAAGAACAATAGAAGAGTAATCAGGAAGACTAGATAATGATTGACATTGCAATTAAATTTGTTTTCGAATCACTTCACCTCATAAAAGGCAATAAAGCCACTAAGACACAAGGGGTTACTGAGTGTGAAAGAACAATAGAAGAGTAATCAAGAAGACTAGATAATCATTGACATTGCAATTAAATTTTTGAAAACCAAAAGAAAATAAACTGTAAGCATAAAACTTATGGTTACATCTCGCCAATTCAACTGTAAATTGATGAAACCTGGTCACTAATCTAGTACTGCACTTAAATTCAGATTAAGAAAAAAAAAAAACCTATCTAGAGAAATTATGCCTTCTTCCTCCTTCAAAGTATATCAGTAAACATGACCAAATCTGTCAGATATTTTTTACTGAATGGTCAAATTCTGTCCCGTACCATGGTTTTACTGAATGGTCAAATTCTGTCCCGTACCATGGTTTTACTGAATGGTCAAATTCTGTCCCATTACCATGGTTTTACTGAATGGTCAAATTCTGTCCCGCACCATGGTTTTACTGAATGGTCAAATTCTGTCCCGCACCATGGTTTTACTGAATGGTCAAATTCTGTCCCGTACCATGGTTTTACTGAATGGTCAAATTCTGTCCCGTACCATGGTTTTACTGAATGGTCAAATTCTGTCCCGTACCATGGTTTTACTGAATGGTCAAATTCTGTCCCGTACCATGGTTTTACTGAATGGTCAAATTCTGTCCGTACCATGGTTTTACTGAATGGTCAAATTCTGTCCCGTACCATGGTTTTACTGAATGGTCAAATTCTGTCCCGTACCATGGTTTTACTGAATGGTCAAATTCTGTCCCGTACCATGGTTTGATTCCGACAGTTTAATCCTTTGCAGGTTATTCAAAACCAGAAAATATTATTAAGAATTTTGATGGGGGGAGATATATATAATAATGATTTAGTGATACAAGTCTCACTTATTAACCCATAGCTGGAGGGAGAAGAGGTAAATTCATACCTGATCAGAATTTGATAAACAAAAAAATTATAATGCAGATGTAAAGTGGGGGATCAATTCTATATTAGAATCACTACATAAACTGATCCCTCACTTTGTGTCCAGAGTAGTATCTATACATTTATATTCCAGAGAATATAAATAAGTCTAAAAGACTTGCCTGTTTAGTCAATCAATATTTCATTGATTGATTTGTTTGTTTGTTTTTTTATGACTTATCAACTCATTGCAGGCTATTTAAAGCCAGAAAATATTTTTAGATTATAAGAATTTTTTTTTTGAGATAATAATAGTTTAGTGATACATATCTTAGTAATTAACCCATAGATGAGGGGAGAAGAGGCAGATTCATACCTAATTAGAATTTGGTAAATAAGAAATTATAATGTGGATATAAAATGGGGATCAATTCTATATTACAGGAAAAAGCATAAGCTGATCCCTCACTTTGTGTCCAGGGTAGTTTCTATATATATTTATATTCCTGAGAATGTAAATAAATCGAAAAGACATGCCTGTTTAGCTAATCAGTATTTCATTGACTAATTGATTTGTTTTCTACAGCTAATCATTCTTCGCAGTTTATTTAAAACCAGAAAATATTTTTAGATTGTAAGAATTTTTTGGCAATAATGATTTGGTTTGGTTTACAGAATATCAACCTCAATAGGTTATTTAATGCCGACAATTTTTTATTGCTGGTAATATTTTTTTTTCCTTCAAAAATCTATTTCTGGTAATATTTTTTAAAAAAAGTATTTCTGGTATTAAAGCCTATTTTTACACTTTCCTAATGTTTTAACCCCAGTAATTTGGGGATTAACTATTTACCCATAGCTGGGACCCTAACAGGTGCTACTACCCCAGGTCAGGGTGAACCTAGGAACACCAGCAATTAAGAGGTGGTTCCACACTCTTCAAAACCTCCTGATCAGAGGCCTTGCTGTTGGACGTAGTTTATCGTCTTATCCAGGATGCAGATATAGTTTATCGTCATACACAAGATGGAATAAGGATTTAGTGATACAAGTGGATTCACACTTTTCCCAAGGGTATTTGCATATAAGTAAATATAATGAACCCAACTGGAATTGGAACTCGGCTCACCAATTAACAATTCTGTGCCATTATCCATTACACCACCTGCACATCCAAGCCGGATTTGAAGAATGTGGCACATATGCATATGTGAATATATATATATATATATATATATATATGAAAAATATGTGATTTGTATGTTACAAATCTTACAAATTAACCCATAGCTGGGGGGGAATAGGTGGATTAATACCTTTTCCAAGGGTATTTGTACATAAGTGAATATAACAAACTGAACGGGAAATGGAATTCCGAACCATTATCCATTACACCAATTGCACATAAAAGCTTACAGTACCTGGTATTCCCATTCTAGGTATTGACTTGGATTTATGTTGCTTAACTTTGATGATCATATAGAAACCAGTGTTTTAATATGACCATAAGCCTCCAAGAGAAAAAAGTTTGATATCAAAACAATGGTAAAAACAACAGGGAACTTCTTCACTATCTTTCCCAAAAGATCATGATAATTAACAGTTAATAAAGAAAAAGAAACTGTGGAGAGCTATGACTGTATACTCCCTGAAAGGTGTAGCATTGAAGGATAAAAAAAAAAAAAAAAAAGAAAAAAAAAGACATTTTCACAAGGATCATTCATCACTGGAGATGTAACTTAATTTATTCATTGGCTTCAAGCAAAACAGAATAAATGAAACTAGAGAAATTGATTTTTTCCCCACATCATTTTTGTTCCTTGAAAAATGATTTCAACAGCCTGTTCATAGCTATCATATGACTTAATCATTTCATTCTGTGCAGTTGAACACTTTGCCTAAAAGATGAAATAAATATAAAAAATATTTTTCTGGGTTTAAATTTAAAATAAAATTATTTTTCACCACTGTTAGACATTAAGTGAATCTTAAGCTGCCTATTTATTTAATGGCAATCAAGTTGCCATTTTGTTGAGCAAAGTATGAGCAGACGTCAGTGATTATCTCACTTTGTAAGACGAATCTATTGATGTCTTAAGGGGCCCTCAAGGGTTACATGACTGCCCATTGGTGGAGATTGCAAATTGTCACTAAGCTTATGACAAAATGTCTGTGATAGCTGGTTGTTGTTCAGTGAACAATAGAATATCATATGTCCTCATCAGGACCATAAAATACCCCCAGGGCCGTATCCTGTTCCTATTGAGTACAATAAAATTAAGACTTTTTGTTTGTCCCTTCACATACTACTTGCTTTTTTTTCACATGTTTTCAAGTTTCTTGAAATGGGAAAGATTGTGACATGCACACACACAAAAACACACACATTTTTATCTTACTGCTTAAATGTTGTTTTTATTGGATACCTCTATTTGAGTAGATGCTCTGTTTATCTATTAAATCATATATTTATTTATTTCCATCCATCAGCCTGAATATTTGAGAAATTTTATTAGTAAAGTATACATTCACTGGTAGGATTTGAACCCGTGTTCCCCTTGGGAAAACTGCCATTAGATATGATGTGCCTTAACCTCTTGACTATAAAGAACATAATGGCCAAGCAAAGTCTGAATAGTGTAGAAATAAGAGTATACAGTCTGATGGTGGGAGTAAAATTTATTAATCAAAAAAAAAAAAAAAAAGCCTTAAAAAGAGAAAGGCAATGCCATATTATTTTCCTTTTCACATGTGAATCTTATAACCTGATCCAAATCATGAAGTAACCCATGAAACAACCTCTGGCCATTCCTCACTATCAAAGATACAAAACGCGTCATCTACTTCATCTGTAATAATATTATTGGTTTACTATAGGATCCAATAGCCTGACATATTTCTTGACGTATTGGGGCACAAATTGGATACTTGTTTTCTAACCTCTATGTAATGTAAGCCTACCTTAACTGCATCTTATACTCATGGGGACTCATTATGTCTTAAGAAACAGAAACTTAACCTTATTAAGATGGTGGTGCATTAAGCCATGAAAATTTGCTTTCAATCCAAGATTGATTTTGTTGCAAGATTATTAGTAGATAACGGTTACCCACTGGACATTGTGCAATCTAGCATTTGTGCCAAGATGGAGCAATTTAATAAATCTATGTTGTT